ATTTTTAATATATTTATTCAATAGTGAAAATTTTTATGAGCCAGTTTATTAAATGATAAGAAGGTTAAAAATATCTAGAGACATCGTTTTTCTCTTTTAGACTTTTGTTATATTAATTTATCCTTCGATTAATATATTTATTCACGTTGCTTTATCTTGCTCTCTGTTACATTAAACTATCTTTCAGTTGCATGAATTTACTTTATTTATTTAATAAACAAGCAACATGTATCGCAATAAGCCTTAAATTTATGTAATAATAGCAAAAAACGAGTCTTTTCTTTTATTAGAACAAGTGGTCAAAATGACTGCTGATCGTAGTTATAGGTATATGGAAAAATGCCATAATGCTAGTGTTAGTGCATATGTTGAATATCTTAACTCTTCAACAGCTACTGTACAATGAGTTGTAGCGTTGTAATCCATCCATGAGGGATTCCGGACCCATAACACCTTTAAACAGATCAATGTGAGAAAAAAGAACCTCAGTACAATAGCGGATACCAGTTACTGAACTTTCTTGGGAGATATGGAGGTCAGTACAGCTATCAAGTATAATACCACCTCAAATGAGAACTCTGACATCTCCAAAGAAGTCCATTTCGATGATGCTGGAGAGGCAATTGTGTGTTCCTCTCTATCTTCAGATGTGTATATGTCTAAAATCGCTTATTAGACTAATTCAGATCTGCGGCCTGTCTGTTCTTGCCAGTAGGATACTATACCAGTCATTCACTGCTGTAGTTGCTCATGGACAACCACTGCTGAATACTCAAACAGCTGTCCCTGCCATCTGACATGCTTTCCAGGCTCATGGAACGATACTGTGAGAGACCACATGCTCCTGTGCCACACTATCACCTTATTCCGACTTCCAGATGGCACAAATATAGGTAAAGCCATCCAGACGATGGCTCCTAGACTGCCTGTTAGCCATATCACACATGAAAAGGCTATCCAGGTAGTAGCAAATTGACGTTTTTGAAATCACTCTACACAGAGCAAAAGCCTTCATCAAAATGCTAAGCGCGCCCTGCCCATGAGCTTTATGCCATTCTGACACTACTCCCCATAAGTTATATATATAAGTCCCAATTCTAGCTCTTGATTGGTCTTTTGGTCCATTCTGTTGCCTAGCTCAGCTTTTATGCTGATTTCCCTAAAATTTGTACACCATATATTAAATAACTTATATCATGTAGATATTGCATGAATTATTGCTTACCATAGTCAATTTTGTTTTTGTGTATTTGGCAACAAATTGCCCTTTCTTATGCCAAAATTGCATCAATGCCATTTTCTCTCACCACATCCACTACAGAAGACGAGTACCAAAATAATATAATTATGATAAATAAAATTTGTATTTTTGTTTAATGACAAATTAAAAATTCAGGCATTCGATTTGATTTTAATTAATAAAGTTTCTATATACCTAGCCTTCCTATCAATAAACATGAAATAACTGAAATAAATACCTGGAATATTTAAAAAAAAAATTATATAAGATGAACTTATGTAATAAATTTATGTAAAATTTATTAAAAACTTATAAACAAACATAACTGTGGACATACTTCTTCTCTCTTTGCATTTCAAAATAATTTCTTCCAGGAAACAAAACTGCACAATTTTCCAATTTGTCAAATTAATTTTTTAAATGAGTGATTTATTTTTTTTCAAACAATAAATGTCAGCTGTCAAGACATGAAATATAATACTTTGATTGTATTTAAATTCATAAACATAAAATTAATATATAATTATATGCATGGAAAATTTAAAGGAAATCTGAAATATTCACCATGAAAATATACTAACGGACATTCAAAATTCACAGAGAACAAAAAATTAATACAAAGTAAGCAAGCCAGTAAGGAATATGTTGAGCTGCATTAAAATTTTTCTTTCAATATTTTAATTACTGTCTTTATAACTTCATGTTTAGGGCAGCATTAGTATTGACATTGGCTACGTTGCCCAATAGAGACTACCTTTATCTATTATGCCATCAGGAATCTTGAATGGGGCATGTATGTGTACTGGGCATCACTGTAGTGGCATTTTAGCTTTTGGTTCTCTAACTTTGTCTTATTTTATTATTAATACTATTCTTATAAAGACTTTTTTTCACAATAATGACTATAAAAGAACAGTAATTATAGAAAATTATCATAACATAAATATTCCTACAGTTACTATTTTATATAATTATAACAGTAATTATAGAAGGCTAATGACTATCATTTTCAAAATTTTTGACTAACAAAAGTGTATAATAATGCCACAGTAAGAGTACCTGTTTTTATATTTAATGATTATAATTTTTACCATAACGGAATGAGCTTCAGGTTTGTAAAAAAAAAAAAAAAAAAAAAAAAAAAAAAAAAAAAAAAAAAAAAAAAAAAAAAAAAAAAAAAAAAAAAAAAAAAAAAAAAAAAAAAAAAAAAAAAAAAAAAAAAAAAAAAAAAAAAAAAAAAAAAAAAAAACTGCAAAAATTATTACAGCTCAAGCTCTGATAAGGCACAATTAGTAACACATTAGCTCTGAAAATCAGGTAAAAAGTTTAGTGACACCAACATGGACAACAATCTGAAGCAAATGACTGATATTCCAGTTATAATGCACAAAAATTGCCTTGTTTTGCCAATATCTGATAACTCTATGAAATACCACTGGATTAGAATTTTTGAAAACAACAATTTAAGAACCAACGAATATGCTTCTTGGTTCATGTGGCATGTGGAAATTAAGTGATTTATAATGTGTTGCCAAAATTTTAGCCGCGTGCTGGTACAACTATTTTTTCGGGTGGCTGGAAATTCTACAAGTATTTAGGATAAGAAGGTTTTGAACATTTATTTGTGAAAGATGGTATCAATTTTGTGGATAGTGAGTCTGGTTGTCATATAAATACGATAGAGATTACGTGGTGGCATGTTAAAGCTACGTTGCCTACTTATAATTGGATATGCGATTTTGTGTTTTATTTGGTGGTTTATATACTTTTCCACCATTTTTCTGAAACACGAGAAGATGTTTTTAACAAATTTGTGGGGAAATTGTTTTGGTGATGTTTGAAATTGGTATTTCTGCTCTTCGAAGAAGCATTCATTCATGGCAAGTGCATTTTATTTTATTCTTTTTCTTATTTTGTAGAATGTTATGCTCATTGTTTTTTAGTATGAATATCTGTCATTATTGCTGTTTTTTTTAATTGTTTGAAATTAATTTTAGTTATTTTGTTGATTATTGTGCAATTTGTAGATTTTTTTAAAGTTTAAACAGAAAGCCATGTATGTACATGGTATTCTTTGAAATTTATTGTTGTTATCTTAATTTACTTCAGCTAAGTGTGCGTAGTTCGTAGATTCCTTTGCTGCATGAACTGTGAAATTCTGTGATTTTTTTTAAGTTAAAACATATTGCTGTGTACATGAATTCTTGTCAAATATTTTTGGTTAGAAACTTTACATTTTTGCTATCTAAATTTTTTGTTTCGGATTTTTAGCTTAAATTGTGTGTTCAAAACGTGGTTTTTGCACGTGCGAAAACCACTTTTTTGGAGACATTTTAGGCTTAAAATTCGAAATGTAGACAAAAAATTTAGATAGTAATATAACACAGTGCGAGAAATTAGTTGCCAAGCGAAAGCGTATATAAGAGTAGTTCCCCAAATGTTACACCGAGTCATGAATAAAACCTTTGAAGGAGTTAACTGGTGCATATCAAACCCATATTAGGTATGTAAAGTAACTTCCAAAATTTTTTTTTGAAATATGCCTTGTAGAACAAGTTAGAAGAATAGGTCTACATTTCACTGTACAACACGTCTGTTCAGAGAATCAAATTGTCGCTCAATGACATGCTGCACATAATTCAACTCATCAGTAGTAAGGTAAAAGAATTTGCAAAATGATGCATGTGATAATGAATTTATATTTGGCATTTGAATCAAGCTATCAGATGAATGAGAAAATCTAAATGTGTATACAATATCCTTAGAAATGTTGAGAAATGTCTCAGAGTTGTGAAAATTTGCAACCAAACCAATAGGTCTTCCACATAATCTGACAGAGGTGCCAGCTATATGGCCTCATATATAGGATAAAATCAGAGGTAAGTCTGAAGAACAGGAAAAAACACAAATATACAACGCACTAATTGTCCAAAATGATAGAGTAGCACTTAATGTTAATTTTCCTCTCAAACTCATTGACGAAAATTCTCAATAAAAATATCAAAACATATCAAGAGTAATTAATATATTTTGAACATTAGAAATTTAGCATTTATAACTATATTAGATAATTAGGGTGTAATATGAATACAGGAATGTTTAAAACAAATTTATTATCTTATTTTAATCAATAAAAATAAAAGTAAAATTAATTCAAAATTTACTCTTTCTTCTTGAAAGCTTAATAATTAATTTAATCTATCTTTATAATTTAGACTTACAGTTCATTGTTATCATATTTCATAAGAAATATACCAATATAATTACATGTAAGTTAGCATGCTATTCATGTAACATAAAATACTCTCTGAAGTTACATATATCTATGCTTTACTTTATAATACTCTAAACACATTAGAAGGGGGGAAAAATAGTTCTGCAAAACATTCCATTAAATGTAATTAATTAGCTTCTACTGACTAACACTGATCTCTTGCATGATTAAAAAAAAAAAATATGAAAATGTGTTAATTAAAGGCAATAAAATGAGCATCATTAGTTTCTCTTAATTTCTTTTTTTCTTTTTTAATGAAAAATTTATGAGCTCAATACGTTTTATTTCATTACTAAATATATAAAATAGAAAAATAAACAATAGCTTCTTCTCCTGACAAAATTACATAATCACAGAATAAAATTTTTTACAAATTCATCTGTCTATCACATTCAATATGCAATGTATAAACATCCATTGATAACTTATTGAATGAAAATTGAGTATATGATTTTCGTGATAAAGAACACAGAAATAGTAACATACTCAAAGGACCATCTTCATTTGAAGGTCCAGGCCATGAAGAAAGTGAAGGCTGCAAAACCTGAGGTGATGGAGCACAAGGTGGAGGTACAGGAGCTGGAGGGGGAGGAGCTGCTACTGGCTTTGGAGGTGTGTAATTAGTTTCTTCTTCTGTGTTATCTGTGGAGTCATTATTATGACCATGGCTGTAGTGATAAGACAAACCTGGCCTAGTTTTGTAACGGGCTCCACAGACTGTTCAAAACAATTTATTTCATTTTTTTATTATCATTTTGTGAAAAGGAAAAGGTTAACAAAAAATTAAATTAACAAATATGTAATAATGTTGTATTAAGCTTTATATGAAATTCACATTAAAATACATGCATAAGCACACAAATATGCACAGGTACATACTGACCAACTGATCATACTCCATTATTCTAGAAAATGTTTAGCATATTAAAAAATGTGAAGACTCTAATCTATAATAAATAGACTGCACATAACTTTGCCTAAATACCATATTTTTATCATTTATTTTACATATGTATGCTATACATAATGAAAAGATATTTATAGATATTATTTTGTTATAAACATTCACATTATATATAAAACAATCACATATTAAACATTATTAACAATCTTCAATAAAAATTACCATACACAATGTTTTGGAATAAAAATTTCTAGCAACAGCTTATTATTTGGAAAAAAAAATAGCATCTACTACTTATATTCTTCTTTCAAAATGTCACGTGTAAATAAACTATGGACTGAAACATATGTTTTTGCATTGTCCAAAAAGAAATATTCTGTAGTCTTCTGTTATCAGGACCAGATTCAGAAATGCATATATGCATGAATGTGTGGATGGGTGGTTGTGTTCATGTATGCATGTACGAGAGACAGTCTGAAAATAAGTTTCTCCAGGAAATCAAACAGCAACAGAGGAATAAGGCAGTGGTAGAATGTGAAAGACACCCATACACCATTAGGGAATCGTTTGAATGTGATCAAGCAGATGGAGCTGTTGCAGTGCCTACGCAAAAAGGAGAGGAGCTTCTCCACTCAATCTGGTCCTGGTAGATATAGAGTGAAGGTGTGTTTTGAATTTGTGGTCAAAGGAGGAAGTGAGAGCAGTTGTCTGCTATGAATGGGCATGTGCAGTATCGGAAGCAGAAATCCATAACTGTTTATGGCCAAATGCGATGTCAAAACAAATGGACCGGACATGGTGCCGTGAATTCAGTGAGGGATGTCAGCAAGTGCTGGACAAACTGAGACCTGGACTGACAGCCACTACAGATAAAAATGTGAAGATGGTGGATGACATGGTTAAGATGAAATGGCATATTACTATCAATGAAGTAGCAGGAAAACTTGGAATCGGACATGTACGAGCTCACAAGATCATACACAACATTCTTCAATAATAGAAAGCATCAGCAAAATGGGTGCCCTCAACACCTGACCCCAAACCACATGGAACAATGCATGGCAGTATGCCTGGAACACCTTGTGCATTACCATCACAATGGCAATGAATTTCTGTTTCCTGGGGGTGTATCTTTAGCGCACAAAACTGTGTATTGGAAATTCTAAAGATATGCTCATTTAAAAATTATTTTGTGATATAGCTGTCGAACTGAATTTTATGATTTAAGTGCGAAGAGCATGATGCTTAATAAACAAAGGTAACACACAAAATGTTTATTAAAAAAAAAAAAAAAATTGGGGCATAAGTGGAAATCCATGGCTACATTTAAGGAACTAAGCATTATTGAAGCATAATTTGCAGACAAGTTTTTAATCAATTCAGTAAAACTAAATCTGGGATATCTCTAGCATAAAAATTTTTATATTGAACAAATACTAGATATTTACACAAACAATGAATGGTCTTATAATAAGTCGCATATTTAAAAAACTTTTTTTAAATACACCTTCAAAAAATGTTTTAACTGATTTACAAACCTATTTTCTACAACTAATATAAATCTTTTTATAAAGCAAATATATCATTTAAAGACTTACTTTCACAGACATATGGCTTTTCCAAGTCAGTGTAGTCATACCGATCAGCTCTCTTTCTTCCTCTACTACTCTGAAACATTGTTTTTTACTTTTTAAATTTCTTTATTAATATTTCTAATTACAAACTTATAGAAAAAAAAAAAAGAATTTCAAACAACGCCTATCCTAATAAATACACAGTAGCAATGAAAGCATAGAACAGAAACTCCACTTTGAAACTGTAGCACTATTTGAAAATCAAAATTCTGGGGGGGGGAAGATACAAAACAAGTTTAAATACAAATTATAGAAAAATTCATCAATAAATAAAGAAAGGAAAGCAAAAAATGCTCAGAAACAAAATGTAAAATTTTCCCATTTTACATTCTGCAAACTTTTTGTGAGAAAAGAGTTAGGTCCAAGATGGAAGCATAAAATCTTTAATTGTAGTAGTACAGGCTATTTAAATGCGAGTTTTTAAAAATAATTTATCATTCGGAGAGGGGGTAAAGACTTGCATCAAAACACAGAGTTTTGTCTGCAAGAAATTTTCTACAGTCAAGATAAAATATTTTCAAGCTATTCTGCAAAAAGTATGATGTAAAAATGCAAATTAAATGATGCAATTACCTATAGATGTCGACTTTTTTCATAGAAAAATGTCTGGGAAAAAAAATTATTTGTTGGTTTTGTGGCCATAACAGTCGTCGAATAACCAGCAGCGATTCAAAAGATGTAATATGGTAAAGACGATTTTGGGGGAAAATTTTGAATTTTTTTTTAATTGCCCAGTTTAAAAGAGCAGTTTTCTAGGATTCCAATTTTTTAATGATAATTAGAAGAGAAGATATACCCAATTAACTGCACCTGAAGTGAAAACAGAAAGACCGGAAGCACCATTTAAGAGGCTCAACTTAAAGGTAAACAACGGTATTATCAGCATTTTTTTTTTTAAACCTGTTTGTGTGAAAATTGTGCTAAACCATTTATTTCATTTTAATTCTAAGTACTTTTTTTTTTTTTTTTTTTTTGTTTCTGGTAATAATTATTTCACTTAATTTTTTTGAACTGGGACAACAACATTGCAATTTTGTTTACATTTCTTCTATGCTTGTTCTTTATTTCCTACACTGAAATTCATGCTTTATTTTTGTTTAATTTTTACATTTTGCTCTTTAATTCTTGTGTTTATTTTCCTCTGAACATTTGTTGCATTATTTTGATAAGAAAAGTAAAAAGCGATTTTTTTATGGTAATCTCTATACAATTGGAACTCAAACTGTTTGTGATAAAGTGACACCTGGAATCTCATCCAAATTAGAAACTTTTGCACTTACAGATGTTATGACTGGAAACAATATTCAAGACATAAAAGGAAATAGAATATTTGATATTGCAACATTAGCTTCTATCTTTTTTATTCTCTGCTGTCCAGTGTGTTTTGAAACTTTCTTGCAATCAGTAGAAGATTCAAAATTTGAACTTTGCTTAAACTTTAGCTTGAAATGCAAATGTAGATTTATAGAAGCATTTTCTTCAACTCCCCAAAATAGAAACAAAAATATTTTTAATTCTTTCTTGGTGCTTGGATTAAAAGGTTATACATTTGATAAAAAGTTGTTTACTTTGAACTTGCCATTCATACTAAAAACAGCATTTAGGCAGCATAAAAGCAAATTGTTAGAAGCTGTACAATATGCATCTGATCAGAACATAAAAGAAGCTGCCAAAAAATTAGAACTTTAAAGAAAAGTACAGCTCGTGATGTTTCTGTGAATGGCACCTGGCAACGTCGTGGCCCTACATCACTGAATGTTGCGTGTCTGTCATTTCTGCTGACACAGTTAAAATGCTGTGTGTATATATAATGGTTTTCATTCTTAATTCAGGATGTCTTGGATTACTTCCTGTGTTTGAACACTTAGGTATATCAATTAACAAGAACTGATTAAAAATTATTTTGGAATTGATAACGAAAGAATAAAGAACTCAAAATGTCATTTGTCACTCATTTCCAAAATAACCAGAAAATTATTAAAAAGGAAATAGGAAATCAAAATTACTTAAGTATGAAAACAAGGTGGATTTGATGTACAAATGTGTAGAGATTCTAAGAGTGTAAACACAACAGAACAGTTTTCCTGCTAATGTGAAATCTTTAAATGCATTTTCTGGAAAACCAATTTTTTTAGTGTTTTTACATACAAGAAATGTAGCTACTCAAATTGTTTTAAAGATATTTTTGTGAAATTTTATTACAGTGTTCACTAGGTTTTAAGTTAAAATCTAAGTTCTATTTATTAATGTGGTTCGTTTATAAGCATTTCTATATAAAATAATAAGAAATATTTTATAAAAAACATTTTTCAATGCAATTTCACATATTTCAGTAAATTGTAGAAATATCATAAAAAATTTTAGCTAATAACACAGATTTGGGTTGTAGTAACATAGAATATAAGTGAAATCAAAATACATAAAGGGGGGCAAATATATGATATCTAACGCAAATACTAAATTTTCCTAAAAATTTGCATAAAACTGCATCTATTTGAAAAATTATGAAAATGTTCCTAAAAATTTACTATTTTCATGATTTGATATCAAATTTTGACTAAATAAATATATATTTAATAAGTATTATTTGTTTTTTAAAAAAAGTGCTCCAAATGCAGGAGGCAGATACCTTAAAAATGTAGCTTAAAAGAGTATGAAAGAAGGACTAGAAAGTCAGTGCGATTCCTTAAGATTTCCAGTTATATCTAATACTTATATTTTCAATAAAACATGATTATTCTTTAAATGCAATAAACAAGACAAATTTATATTTAAAGGATGTATGTAGTCCCTTGTTTCTGATAGAAATTTAATTATTCTTTAAGGATATTAATCAACAGCTTTAAAGAATTATTTCCTTTTGTTGCACTACTACTTTAAAATACAAAATCAATCTCTTTGAAATACAAAACAATAGAACAGTACAAATAATTAGCCCTTTATTCACATTGTGAGTGCAACTTTGATTAAAAAAGAATGTGATGCTCTACACATTTCTGAGAACCATCTTCTATTTTCTGAAATAAAAATTCAAAATCTATTCAATATGAATTTCAATTCACTAATAAAACATCTTAATTTTAACCAGCATAAATCTTTAAAATTTATTCAGGCAGCAAAATGAAAAAATGAAATATAGTTTTAAACTTCAGTTAGAGCAGAAGACTTCTGAATAAAATTATTAATTAAATTATAAAGCTAAGAAGTCCTAAAATGATAAAATTTTGAGAGCTCATATTAATACTTCATAACAGTCAATCAAAATAATTTTCTAATTTTACTCCATAACTGAAGAACATAAATATGAAACTGCAGAAATGCTAGATATAATTAAAAATACTAGAAATGTTTGGAGAATATGGTAGAAATTTTTTCCAATGGTTAGCAATGATAATTAACCAATATCATGTGAAAACTAGTGATGAAAAATTTGCAGCAGAAATGAACAGATGTAAGCAAGAGTCATGACAAGAATACTTTAAAAATGAATCGAATTGGACTGAATTAACAATATAAAATCACACATGAGCCATTTGCTTAAGATCAAGGATATCTATAAAGATTTATTTCATCTATAAGATCTATAAGATTTATATCAATGAAAAAATGACTGATTATTATAGTACAGTTGGAGAACACTATAAAAACAATGCATCAAGCCCATTAAGTCACTGGGAATCAAAGCCAGGACAAACAACCAGTATTTTGCAGCTTCAGTCATTCAGCCATTGAAGAGTATTTTAAAATGGAATAAAAAGCACTATTAATGAAGCATATATCAGCAATACATAAAAAGCTATAATACGCTGAGAAAATTGTCTAATAAAAATATTCCATCTAATAACTAAAGTACTTTTCCAAATTTTTTATTGTATGCTGACAATGTAACACTAAAGCTAACACTAAGCTTTAAAATTTAAAAAAGGATTTTTTTCTAGTGATTTTGATTAGATAAATAATAAAGCATTAAATTCACGTTCTGATCAAAGATTTAAAATTAATCACGTTCACGTTCTGATCAAAGATTTAAAATGCGAATAAAAATAAAACATTTTTCTCACGGCATGCTTTAATTTTATAAATAAGTAAATACAAGATGCAATATAAAAGTTACAAAACAATTTAATTGCAATATCATGTTTTTCAATTTAAAAAAAAAAAATTAAATGTGTACATGAAAACAAAATGTGAAAAAAAAATTGGTTCTGAGAGCAGTTTTTTTTTTTTTTTTTTTTTTTTTTTTTTTTTAATCTAAACCTTAAATTTTATTATTGAAGTTATTTAGCATTTTCTGCATACATTTTAGTATTCTCATTTTGTAGTAAACACAGCTAATGAATCGATAAATTTTTCATTTTAGATTAATCCCTCCTTTTGGTTACATATTATGGTGATTTTTAAGATTAATTCTGAGTTGATGGAGTTAGCATAAGAAAATATATTTGTCCATAGCTTATCAGATGTTAAATTCCAATTTAAACACATCTTATAGCTAATTTGTTTACACTCCATGCAAGGAGCAAGCTTCATATCCATGATGAATAGGGATAGCTCATTAAAAACACCACTTGCACAGACCAGAGCATGGGGCAAAAAAACATTAATAAATTCAAATTTCCAATTCCAGCATTTCTTTTAATTGCTAGTAGTGTTACTAAACCACACACATATGCACAGAATGCAACAACTGAATTAATATAGGGATTAAATTTAAGGAAAACTTTACAGCAGAGTATCTTGTAAACAGTATATTTATTTAATCTTTTCTGCATTTAAGAGCATAAAAAACCTAAAGGAAAGGTCACCACCATTGGATGTCATTTTAATATAAATAAAATAAAAAAAAACAAAAGTAGACAAAATCCAGACTTCGGCGATTATAGATTTGGGATTTTTCCGGATATTAGATCATCAGTTTAAATCTGGTAAGATGGCATGCAGAAATTATACAATTAAAAATATGAAATCATAATTTATGAAATAAAGAACAATTATGATCTAAAGGAAATCAAAATTTACAAAAAAAAAAAAAAA